CATAGCGGGGAATGAACTGGGCTTTGTCCCTGCCTTTGTGGGATGTCACAGCCTTTAATACCAAGGCCCAGTTCGATAGCATTGCCTTGTGGGTCTTCTAGCTCCTGTGTCAAGGAAGAGGTGCACATCATTGCCAGGCCTCGTTAGAGGTGTACTCATGGGATGTTTCAAGCATGTCTAAGCCCACAGTGATCTTCAGCTTTCATCGGATCCTTTTATTTTTCACTAGTTTCTACCTATCTAGATCTCTCAGTAAAATGTTACTTTATTTTTACATTAATTTTAGAAACTTCTATTAACCTATGTACAAATACTTTTAAAAAAATAGCTTTTTATGCATATTTTTATTAAGATAATTTCAACAAAGTCCAAAGCTTTCTGCAGCTTTATGGGTGTTGAGATATCTTTCCTTCCCCTTTGGTAGAGTTTTACTCGGTTAAATGTATAAAAGGCTATGAACTGATCTCAAAAATGCCTAATGGTTAAAAAATGTCATTGGCGTTTAATGTTTAGAGTTTTTTCCATTTTCCTTTCTTTGGTTTGGTTTGTAGGTAATATACACCATGGATTACTTTACCTTACTCTTCTCATTAGGTTATATATTGTATTCTAAAACAGCAGTAAAGCGCGTTCAGGCATTTTCTTTTGAATCCTGAGAATGAGCTCTGACCAAATGGCAGCCAGCCTAGATTTTTCTTTGGCCAAAATTACATCCCCATTTTCCATTACCTCATTTATATCCTTTTATACCCTCATTCTTTTTTATATATTTAAAATTCCTCTAACATTCTTTAATGGTATACGTAGTTTCTGAAGTTTACTTTAGATCACTCATTAACTTGTGATAAAAAAGGGCTGGGGATAAGGTTGCATTAATTTCTTTCCTGTGTTCATAGTTTTTCTTTAAGAGCCCCTCTCTTTGAAAAATAATGTATAGCAGCTATGCAGATCGGCATTTTTTTTTCTTTTTTAATCCTCACCCGAGGATATTTTTCCATTTATCATCAGATAGAATGGGTGAGGGGGGAGAGAGAAAAAGGGGAGAGGGAGAGAGAGAAACATCGATGTGAGAGACACATCGACTGGTCGCCTTCCACAAGAACCACCCAGGGCCGGGGATGAACCACAGCCGAGGTACGTGCCCTTGCCTGGAAGCAAGCCCGTGAGCCATTGGTCCGAGGGCCGACGCTCCAACCTGAGCTAAACCAGCCAGGGCCAGATCTGCATTTCGATCATAGACAAAATCCGATTCCCCAGTTCTAGCGGCTTTGCCCATGGTGCTTCCAACTGTTGATATTTCAATAATCTTTCATTTTTAAAGCAAACCTTAACAGCAGAATTATAATAAAAACCTTAATCATTAATATGTTTTCACCACTTAATACTGTGTGCCCGATGCTGTGTTACTTTACATAAAATAATTCTCAACAATTTATAAGGTAAGTTTTTCATATTTTAAAAGTGAAGAAACAGACAAGGGAGGTTAAATTAACTTGTTATAAAGATATGCATTATAGTGTAACTCATTTATAGTTCAAAAAAAGCAATATGGAATTATCAATATTTTAGTAGTCTGTATTTAGATTGAAATTTTAAGTTCATTCTTCAGTCTTTCTTATAATTATCTATAGAATTACAACTTAATAACTATTAACCCCACTCATAAAACTGAAAACTGAGCTTAGTTTTAGATGGCCTTTTTGGAGGTAGGGGGTGGGGTCATGGCATTGTTAATTGAATCATTCTTTTCTTACTGGGTTATCTTTCCCAGACCCTAAAATAAAAGACTAAAGACTTGTTACTTATTAGGGTATAATAACCTTTAACGTACTATTAAGTATATAGAAATAGTATTACATTAGTACAGATTTTCAAGTAATTTAAAACATTTTCATGATTGCAGAAGTTTTAACAGGCTTTTTATATTATTACCAGTACAAATCCGAAGAAGAAGAATGCTAGAAGAATTAGTGTTCTCGTATCATGACTCATAGAGTCTAATAAACCTTGGACTGAAAATTTTGTCTTTATACTTTACCAGGCTTGAAGCATAAGGATAAGTTTATTTGTAGATATCTACTAAATTTCAAGGTGGTGTCTAATGTTGGCATTACCCAAAATTGCATGTTTTAAAAGTCGACTTCCGAGATGCCAAGTTTCCTAGGCATTGATGGCCTCCCATTGAGCATGGCAGAGTCTAAATTCTCTTTAGGATAAGCTTCATTTCATGTATTAAGAATAACTGACATAAAGAGTCTTTATGTAGCCCTGGCCAGTTTGCTCAGTGGTTAGAGCGTCGACCCATAGACTAAAGGGTCTCAGGTTTAATTCCCGGTCAAGGGCACATACCTGGGTTGCAGGATCAATCCCTGATCCGGTTGGGGTCGTGCAGGAGGCAACCAGTTGGTGTGTGTGTGTCTCTCTCATGTCGATGTTTCTCTCTCTCTAAAAATCAATGGAAAAAATATCCTTGGGTGAGAATTAACAACAACAAAAATTTTTTTTTAAAGAGTCTGTATGTAGCTCTGGCCAGTTTGGCTCAGCGGTTGGAGCGTTGGCCTGCGGACCAGAGAGTCCCGGGTTCGGTTTCCGCTAGGGGAACGTACCAAAAAAAAAAAAAAAAAAAGAGTCTTTAGGTAAACCAGCTCCAAAGTTACAGCTCAGTCTTATTGAAGGTAAGGCAGCCACGTTTTTGTTCCTAGTAAACTGCAAAGCAGCTAGCTGTTAGCCCTTCCTACCACACAAACAACCTAGCTACTCTGTTGCAAGATCCTCATTAGGCTGAAATTCCTACTGTGGCTATTCTTGCCTTAATTTCCCTTTTTATTTTCTTATGGTCCAGTCTCTTTACTATCTGCCGCACTAGCTGACATAGCTTTATTAGACTGTAATGAAGCTCATGGGTCCTATAATTTTATGCCTGAAAACTTGGATATTGTGTCTTTTAACACATTTGTCGAATACTCACTCTGTGCGGGACATCAGTGAGTAGTAACCTGACTGCTACAGTCTGCTGAGTCCTCACTTCTGTGAGGCATTGTTCTAAATGTCTTACCACATGTATTACCTCATTTGATTTTCACACTAATCATGTGAGCTAGGTACTGTTATTATCCCCATTTTATAGATAAGAAAACTGAGGCAAGATACATAAATCTCTCAGGGTAATCCAGCTAGTGGATGGCAGAGTTGGGCCACAAACCCAAGCAGCTTGGGCTTTAGAATTGACTCTCAGTCGTCACATAACACTGCTTATGCCCTGCTCTCAAGGGGCTCTCTGGCAGAGGCTGCCCGTAAGCTCTGCAGACCCTCCGGAACAGGGCTGTATCGCTCTCTCAAGGAGAGGGGAACGGGCCCAGGGCCAAGGCGGTTTAGCACTGAGCCCGGCTTTCTCGTTTGTTGACTTTCACATTATTCTAGTTTTTCTAATATTCCTCTTTTGTGAAAATTCTGTAAGACTTGTCTTTGATCGAGTTTTGGATGTTCAAGTGAAATGCCACAGTTGTGTCAGTAAATGAAAAGCCCCCTAGTAAAGTATTATTTAAGACTTGATGTAACAATTAGATAGCTAGTTCCTCTCAGAAATCTTATAGCAGATTTGGGGTGGGGAGAACTTGAAAAACATTTTAAGAGGACCATAGGTAAAACAAACAAACAAAAATACCAAGGTAAGGTTTTGATGTTCTCTTACCTTCTCTCACCAGAAGTTTTATTTTGAGATGTGACAGAGGAAAACTATTGGTCATGTTTGTGGACTTGAGTTGTTCAAATAAATGATGGTCTTCAATTCTGATTGGATTTTCCTTTTGTTTGCGCAAAAGTCTTACGAGATTTCTCTAAAATGTTTGTTCACAAATGAATTAAGGGAAGATTAGCTATAAACAATGAACATGTTTCTGGAAGGAAATTGTTTCAGAAGATTGGTAATGAAGTTGTTAGTTGCGAAGCTGAGTTAAAGGCACACACACTGTGGGGTGGAGTAAGCGCTTTGGGCCAGCCAGACCTGGATGGGCGCTGCTCTGGAACCTCAGAACTGGGAAACGTCTGGAAGCTCCCTGCAGCTTTAGTCCCACCTCTCAGTGTGCAGTAATGTCCAAGCTTCTGACTTGAATAGCAGGCAGGATTTCTCCAAATAGAAAGGATCAGTAAGTTAGGGAGGGACAGTGTTTGTAAATAAGCTTAGACTTGTAGTTCAGATCTGTTAGACCATTGGCTCACTAAATATGCTGCATTTTCATAATATCAGTATTTTGCCAGTATAACAACATAAAATGCACTTCAGGAGATTTTGTTCAGCAAATCATATGAAGATAATATTAACAAATTAATTTGTAGCTTTCCATTTTTATAAATTGACCATTTAAATATTGTCTGCATTTTTTGTTTTTAAAATAATATATTTTAATACTGTGTGTCACTTAATTCTTTTGGAAAGTTGGCATAAAAGGTATTGTTAAGAATTTAGAGTTAATTATTTAATGTAAAAGGCACAGATTCAACTTGAAATAATTTTTATTTAATGCAAAATGTATTTTCTATTGGCAAAATTAGAGTTTTCTCTAATTTTCTGTCTTTTTTTTATAAATAAAATGTACTACTTGACTGAAATCTTAAAAAAAAATTTTTCATTGGAAGTAAGCAATTTCATAAAAATTTAAGTAAATTGTTAAGGGTGTCAAACATGTATTCAATTTTGATTTAAAATAAAACTGAGGTTTGTTTTACATTGTGGCAAATATGTACATTTTAGAAAACAAACTTTGCCTATATTTAGTCAATGTAATTTTTAAAGTAACTAGGATTATGGAAACTAATAATGCTCTGCAGTATACTGAGGGAAGATGAAACTATATTCATAAATCCCTTTTCTAGTTATGGTAAAATTCATTTAAAAAACTAGATCTGTAGAAATAAATTGTGCAAAATAATATACATGTAAAATTTACATTTTCAGGAACTGAAAAATACAGAGTTCTGTTTAAGTTGTAGACTGTTTCCCTTCAGTCAATAGGCTTGATCATCATCTGCACTGCTCTCAAGGAGTATGACCCGCCTCGGTATTCGGCCCAAAAGATTCCATCTTGGTACTTGCTTCTGTAGTGACCTCCTCTGTACCACACTCCGTTGAGGTTCGAGTGTGCACAGGCGTTGTACCACCAGCCTCCTTTATGAAAATGGGCACAGTTTCCTTTGAGGAGAAAAACAGAGACATCAGAGTGAGTGTCTTCTAAATTGGGTACTCTGCAAACCATCAGAAACTTAGTCTACCTGTGGATCAATGTTTTTCTTATTGATTTCCATTAACCTTTCTTTCATAATTTTGTTTCTTCATTTATTCTGTTACTTTTGCTTAAATATTAAGTACATGGAAGATCACTTGAATTGCCTTCCTTATCTTGCTCCTTGCATGCTTAGGACTTGTTTTGTTTTAAGTGATTTCATTTGCTAGGTAGCAAGGTAAATATAATGCAGGCATTGTTAGCTTGTGAGAGAGGATCGGAAGGAAAGATAGGAAGTTGCTAAAGAGAGTCAAGTTTGGGGAAAATTGAATTCTCAGAATAGCAAAAAATAATATAAAACAGCATGACTAGCAGTTACATGGGTTTCTGTTAAAAAGGTATATATTATGGGTATTTTGCTCTTCTTTTTTCCTCTTGCCTGTGTGAAATAGGTGGACATGTTTGCCAGGATACAGCTGAACAGAAATATAAATTCATTTTCAGGGGTGATAACCTCTTTATCAGGGCCAGAAACCTGGATTAAGGAGGCAAAAGTTTATGAAAATTAAATTAAAAATTATCTTATGTGGATGGCCTAATTGATTTTCTAAAGAGAGTGTTAATTGCCCCTCTGAATAGAGCTTGTGTTTGTTCCTGTACCACTTCACAAGCCTTTGCTGTCCCCTTGCTAAGAAGGCCTTTCCCCGGTTCCCAAACGCTGGCTTCCTTCGCTCCCTGCCGGTCTCTGTTCAGATGATACCTTCTCACAATACCCTTTCTGGGCCACCCCTTGTACAAGAGCACCCACCCCGCCCCACCCCCTGCTGCCCCCACTTTCTGTGCCCTTACTCAGTGTTTTTGTTCTCAGAGTACTTGTCACCACCTGACAGGTTATGTGTCTTCCTCTGCGAGCCAAGTTCGCTCACTGCTCTGTCCTAGGCCCCCAGCCTGGCACAGGGGAGTGTCCAGTCAGTGTTTGTTACGAATCGCAGGCTGCTGGGAGTTTTATTTCCAGAAGAAAGCATTTTTGTTTTGTTTTCATGCCCCACCCCTACAAGTGAGACCAGCAGAACCTTCGTCACAGAGGCCACACGCTGGGGTTGGCCCGTGGCAGCCACTCAGCCGGCGCGCCGCGAGGGGTTTTAAAACACGCAGCACCTGACTGTTTAGTCGGGGGAACTTTTCCTGTAGATTGGCAAGTAAAACAAACAAAAACTGTTTAAAGCCAATATGACAATAGCCATCCAGTGTGACTGAATCAAAATTATATCTATTTTTTGTCAGACTGACAAAAATACATATTTTGGGGTGTGCCGCAGAATTTGGTGGCAGCGTGTGCCATGAGGTGAGAGGCGGAGATCGTTGCCTTACAGCCACAGGTTCTAAAGCTGCTCCTTTCAGCAGATCGTGGTCCCTTTGAGTCCAAAGTGGCCTTTCTGGAACACTCTGAGTCGTGCGTGTGTATTTACAACGGCTTCTGTTGCATGCCTGGAAGGTGGTGATTCTACAAAGTGCACATCGGCTTTACTCACTCACCTGCATACATGTCTTTATCTCTGTCCAGTGTGGTGAACTGTTTGCCATTGTGCCACATCAGAGAGTCCCCTGCATTTCCCTGGTATGTTCCCAGGCGCAGTCTATAGAATTCACTCTCAGGTTCCAGGCGAAAGCTGCTATATTCTGCATAGACTTTTTTATCACTCCAGTCTTCTAATTCAATCAGCAGCTTGTAGTTATCTTGGTTGCTAAGCATATAAATATTTTCCAATCCAAGCCAGTATTCTCCGTCAATGTTTCCAAACCCTTTCTGTTAATAAAAAAAAAAAAAAAAAGGATGAGTGTATAAATAATTGTAGAGACAGTAAACGTTTTAATAGATAGGTTTCAAACATTCGAGCATAAGGATATGGGTCATGTAGGTGGTAGTGTGAATTTCTGTTTTAGTCAGTCGCCTTATCTTTATGAGCCCCACATAGTCGTTTTGTTTTGTTTTGCTTTCTCTTACTTTGTCAGTGGTATTTATTTGCACAGCTAATTTCAAACCCTACAAATAACACAGAGGCAAAAGAGAATAAAAATTATTCATAGCTACTAAAAACATTAACTTATGAACTACCCACATCCTTGAAAGGGTTCCTGATCTCTCTCATACTCATACAAAGAGCTTATTTTTTTTCTAAAAGTATATAGATACTGTCCCCACCTTAGTCAGACAAAAAGGATATCTAACATTACGATCATTCATTAAAAATGATAGTATCCGCCCTGGCCAGTTTGGCTCAATGGTTAGAGCGTTGGCCTGCAGTCCAGAGAGACCCAGGTTCGGTTCCTGCTAAGGGCATGTACCCCGGTTGCAGTTTGTCCCCGGGGTGCGGGTGGCAGCCACTCTATATGTCCCTTTCACGTCAATGTTTCTCTCTCTCCTCTCTCTCCTTCCCACTCTATATGAACAAAAAATGAAAAAATGTCCTCAGGTGAGGATAAAAAAAAGATAGTATATGTCTTAGAGTAAATTATCTTCTTTTGCTATATTATAAGTAAAATTAGTAAATATATGAAGATAAAATAGTAATCTTCAAAGTTCTCCCTTTAAAAAATTGTAGATTAATGTTTGAAAAAACCATTAACTGTCCTGTTTCAGTAAGCATTTGCCATTGCGTGTATGCAGCAGGCTTTATGTTTAGAACCCTGATCTTAATATACCGAGTGTATTTTCAGGGAGGTTGTGCTGCTGAATTTCTTTTTTCTGGTTAGTGCTTGTTTAGAAGTTTATACAACTTCTGACATGGATATGTTAATGTCTCATTTTTAGCTGCCAGTAAAATATCTCCTAAGAGTGAGTGATCACGTTACTTCACTGTTTTTTTTTTTGGTACGCGCCCCTAGCGGGAACCGAACCCAGGACTCTCTGGTCCACAGGCCGATGCTCCAACCGCTGAGCCAAACTGGCCAGGGCCACAATTTTTATTGAAGGATTAACCATCTAGAAAATATAGTTTCTCCCATCTGCCATCCTTAAACTGAAAATATATACCACTCAAAAAAAGAGCATGATGAATGTCAGAATTACTAACAAAGACTAGTTGTTTACCTTTCCAGAATTGGCACTGCATGATTCCGGCCCTGTGTGAATGAGTCTAGGTGTACTGCTTCCCAACAGGACCAGTGTCTGATGCCATCAACTTAAAGTGCGGTAGCAGGATTATCAGAGGTGATTAGTCTTAGAAAAGGGGTCATTTTTTTAAAGTCCTATACTTTATATTATTGCTTAAATATACTTGATGATGAGTACCGATGTGGTCATAAACAAAAAAGCAGTTATCTACTTAGAAAATGGAATTAGAAGTAGTCTTTGCAAAGAGTCACTTATAACTCATCCAGACTGAAAGGGGTCATTTTAAAGGACATCTTCAGTTTCCTTTTTACATTTTAATTTTGACTTTAAAATCAGAGATGAGAATCATCTTTTTGACAAATGTCACTAACAAAAAAACACATGGATAATTATTTTTTACCTGAGTGTCTAATTTATTGAATAGAATAGAATGGCTACTGTTGCAAGAGGTGCTCTGTTCTACCTCTCCCCAGGTCTGAGTCACTGATTTACCTTGTAATTGTCCCAGTTTCTGAAGAAGTTGACAGAGCCGTCTATTCTCTTCTGAATAACAGTCCAACCCCCAGGATCCAAACTGTTCTCACACCATAACTGCATTGGTCCGTTGCTGTTTTCAGGTTTAATCATATAAATGCCACTGGTCGAATAGCCAGCCTCTTTCGCATGCTGACAGTCTTTGAATGGTCCTGTAATTGAAATATTATAGATCGCCAGGGGATTTAATAGAAAAACAACCATATTGAAATAAGTTTTAATCAAGAGTCTTACCTTTATATCTTTCTTTACAGATACCACTTTTTATCTACTGTATACACAATACTACAAAAGCTAGAAACTAAATAAAAGGATAACTGCAGTCCCACATTAACTTGTGTCATTTTCCACTATTCTTACAAGTCTTTGTACATATACACACTTTTTTACACTGTTATAATTCTAACACACATAGAAATTTGGATTCTGTCCTTTTAACAAGCATTTCCATAGTCTGCATTCTAGCACTCAGGACGCTGACATACCATCGTTTATTCTGCTGACGTTGGACATTGAGATTTTATCTGATTTTTGCTGTTAGAAATAACACTACACAGAGTGTCTTCTTATTGGCTTTAGTTTTTCATATATTCTTATAAAAATTTCATGGGATTGATCTACTGGATCAGGAGAGTGAAACTTTTACAGCTCTCTATAGTGTCCGATCCACAGGTTTTGAAATTTGATTTCATTGGAATATACTACTAGTTCTTTGAAATATTCATTGAAAACAGTGTGCCATGATCAGATGGATTTTTGAATTGCTAAATGTTATAGTACCCTTTTGGAAACTCACAGTGTACATTCACATATTAAAGACTGAAAAGCCCTGAAATAAACCAGAGTTTCTCAAACTTACAGAATCTTCTAACTTTTTTTCTCCATGCAACAAGCAGTCCACGAGAATACATTTCAGGAATGTTGGCAATGTGCCTTTCTAAAGAGTTGTATCAATTTATATGACTAATAATAATTTTTAAATTTAATCTACGCAATGACCCTGTGATAGTTTACAGATGTTCTATAGATGAGAGAGTTAACTAATCTGAGGTCCTGTATCTAAGACGGTAATAAACCCTAGACTTAAACCCATTTCTTTCTAATCCCGGAATCCATGCTCTGACCTGCTGTGTTATATTTGCCCCATGTTATTTCATAGTTTTATGGAGTCTCTCCTTATTTTATTTTTTAATCCTCACCCGAGGATATTTTTCCATTGATTTTCAGATAGAGTGGAAGGGAGGGAGGGAGAGAGAGAGAGAAGAGGGAGAGAAAGAAACATCGATGTGAGAGAGACACATTGATTGGTTGCCTCCCACATGACCCAAACCAGAGCTAGGGACTAAATCACAACCGAGGTACGTGCCCTTGACCGGAATCGAACTCTTGACTCTGGTTCATGGGCCAATGCTCTAACCACTGAGAAAACCAGCCAGGGCACTTTCTGTTTTTTCACTCACTAATAAAGTCTATGAAACATTTTAACTAATAAGTTCTTTTCAAAACATTTTATAAAATTATTTGTAGTGTCTGACTTGTGAACTTCTGATATCCACATTTTTGGATCTTGAAAAACCGTTTTACTGAACGTTCTTTAGTTTCACCCTTCTCCAAAGTTTTGAGCCCTGTTTTGTTTTTGTTTTTTAATTTATAAGCATGTAAAAATATTACGTGATTCAGAAATAAGAATTACCTTAAAGACTATTAGAACAACAAAAAAGTAAAGAAATTTCAGTTGCCAATTTTATATTTTACTAGACATTTTTAAATTCTGACTTGTATAATTTTTAGAAATTATGTGAAAATAGAGAGTTTAGTCATGTAGAGTTCATACAAGAAAGTCTGTACTATAAAGTTAATAGGATTGTTAAAATTTTGAGAAATGTGTTATCTATAACTTGCCAAATATATACAGGGTCCCTTTTGGGTCTTGTTGAGGTAAGAATAATCTCATTAAATAAACAGTTACACAGTTGCATCATTAGACAGGGTTCAGAAAGTCTGTGAACTCATCCCTTAGGAGTCTGCTTCTTGAGGACCAAGGCTACTTCTGGTTTTCTTCTGACTTCATGTCAGCGGGGTTTTAATTTTTAGTGGGCTGTCAATAATTGTTTTGTTAGGTAAACGAATCCCTGACCTTGCCTTCACAGTCTAAATCAGCGGTTCTCAACCTGTGGATTGCGACCCCTTTGGGGGTCAGACGACCCTTTCCCGGGGGTCGCCTAAGACCAGAAAACATATTTCTGATGGTCTTAGGACCCAAGACTCAGCTCCTCTATCCATCTCCAGGCGGGTCCACCCACGTGCAGATACGCCCACTACAACATGAGGAACTGTGTTAAAGGGTCGCTGCATTAGGAAGGTTGAGAACTGCTGTTCTAAATACTTGGAAACTGAAAACCTCACACACAAATCAAGAAATGATCAATTTCTCTAGGCTTGATTTTTATTGTTTCATTGATATTTATGTTTCAGATTTTTAAAAATTACAATTCAGTGTCGATAAGAAGTACAGATTATATATAGTAAAACATTTTAAAAGCTGGAAAGAATGCTGTCTTTCTTGGGGTATATTTATTTTAGGTAATGAATTTTTTGGTTCTAGAGTTTCAATTTGGTTCTTTTTTATAGTTTTTATTTTTCTTCTAAGATTTCCAGTCTTGCAATCATGAGCATTATTTTTCGTTAAGCTGTAACAACTACTTTAAAAATTCTTGTCTTTTCTATTTCTAGTTTGCTGAGATTTTTTTTATTGTTTATGGGTTTGGGATTTTGTCAAGTTTTAAATTTATCTACTGAGATGATATTTTTGTTTTTGTTTTTGTTTTTCATTTGTTAGTGGGATGAATCCTGTTGGTTGTATTTTTAACATTAAACTAACCTTGTGTTCGTGGGATAACCTCGACTTGGTCGTGGTGCATTATTGTTTTTATATGTTGCTGGATTTGATTTCCTAAAATGTGTTAAGAATTTATGCTTTGCCCTGGCCTGTTTGGTTCAGCGGTTAGAGCGTCGGCCTGTGGTCCTGAGAGACCCGGGTTCGGTTCCCGCTAAGGGCACGTACCTCCGTTGCAGTTTGTCCCGGCCCTGGTCGGTCGTGCGGGTGGCAGCCACTCGATGTGTCCCTTTCACGTCGATGTTTCTCTCTCTCTGTTCCTCTCTCTCCCTCCCACTCTACCTGAACAAAAAATAGAAAAATGTCCTCGGGTGAGGATAAAAAAAAAAAAAAGAATTTATGCTTTTATATTCATGAGGATATTAGTCTGTGAAAGCTCATAAATTGGTTGTTAAGCTGGGGAGGACTATGATAAAAATAATGTTTTGAGCTTATCAGACTGGCCATAAATTAGATCACATTTCCTTTAACTTCAATGTGAATTATTTTTATATTTTTCAATATAAAACCTCCTCAGTTACTGGATTTAAATTACAAGGTATTCATAGCCTTTAACGTAACACTTCACAATGTAACACATCATCAGTGACTGTCAGTTCCCTTCCTTTTTCCTTCCTAACCTCGACACACAGTCATAGTTTGTTTAATAATTTAAGTAGCTTATTTAATAAATAATGCTTATTTAATTAATAAACAATGTGGCTAATCAAAAATGTAGTCATTTCTACTGTAGAAAAATAATGTATTTCCGAAAAACCCCATGTTCTGCAAAATCATGCACTAAAAATAACAGTCAGTGTTAGCTGTTAGCACACTTTGTATTCAGCTGCAGTTAACTTGTGGCACAAAACACTGATATGCTTGGAAAAATCCCATATGAACCAAAATGACCTCTTTGTTTTACTGATACTATTCTCCCTTTTTTGCTAGTTGCATATGAGCTACTTCACTCTACAGAAACATGCACTGTAGTCAAGTCAGAAGGGTAGAGAATTTTAATTTCATATGTGGGAACGAAATGGAAGGAAAAGTGAGGTGTGATTTCCAAGCACACTCTCTGATTGTTCTGTGTAATGCGTGGTAATATACTCCTTGTTTATTCGTGGAGCTCCCCCATGGGCAACAACTGTCTCTCGGTTATATATCCACGGTTTAAACCCCCTTAGGCACTCAAATATTTGTTGAGCTAAATGATTCCTGGTAGCTACAGTGGTTTCCTCAGTTCTGCATTAATTTTTCCAGAAATATTTTGGCTGCTTCTACTATAGGCTAGAAACTGTTACAGGCTCCAGCGGTAAAGAAACAACCATAGAATCCAATGGGAAGTGGGGAAGTAGCAAGTGAAGAGAGAATTTCACTACTGCGTGGCACCTACTTGGATGGAGTTGTGCATCAAGTTACACACGTGGGAACCTGGCTGAGAAACAGCCATCCCAGATTTGCAGGAAAGAGATCAGAGTCCACCTGTGTCTAAGCTGAGCCCTGAAGATAGAGCAGGAGTTTGGCTAGTGGGGCAGGAGGTCTGACCAAGGCCCAGATGGGGAAGGGGCTGGGGCATGAGGCAGGGCTGGTGTTACAGAGGAGCTACAAGTTCAGTATGTCTGAAGTATGAATGACTGAAGGTGCTACTTAGAGCTCCTGAGACAGACACTGGAGCTGAAACTGATTTCCTCGGATTAAAAGTATCATCATCGTGGTTATTTCCAAGTAGCCAGATTTTTCTGCATCATTACTTACAGAATAGTCAGGATATCTGAGGAACAATGTTCTTGTTTTAAAACCTATTAGTAACATCTGTAATACATTTTACATCCAACAATAAAGATTTGAAAAAAAATAAAATAAAATGAAAAATAAAAATAGAAGTTCAGAATAAAAAAATAATAATAATAGCCCTGGCCGGTTTGGCTCAGCGGTTAGAGCATCGGCCTGTGGTCCAGAGAGACCCAGGTTCGGTTCCCGCTAAGGGCACGTACCTTGGTTGCGGTTTGTCCCCAGCCCTGGTTGGATCATGTGGGTGGCGACCACTCGATGTGTCCCTTTCACGTCGATGTTTCTCTCTCTCTCTCCCTCCCACTCTATCTAAACAAAAAATGGAAAAATGTCCTCTGGTGAGGGAAAAAAAAAAATAATAATAATAATAATAATAATAAAATAAAACCGATTAGTATTGCCCAGCCAGTGTGGTTCAGTGGATTGAGTGCTGTCCCATGGACTGAGAGGTCACAGGTTCAATTCCTGGTCAGGGCACATGCC